CGCCTGAATTAGTTTTGTGCTGCCGAGAACTGTTAAACGTAAAATCAATTGTCCTCACATTTCCCCAAAGAGCACATCAGGTTTATGGGAAAGGCCCGACTACATCATCCCCTCAACTCATCATCGAGTCGCAGTAAATCAGGACAATGATGAGCCAAAAGCAGCCGTACGTCAATAGTTAAGCACTTCCAAACGAGGCGCAGACAACAATCACTGCAGTATTTATTATGTGTAATCAAAGCAGACACTGGATCAGGTCTAACCTGGGGACACGTCTGGAGAGGAGAGAAGGTTGTATGTAAGAATTTAGTTAAATGTAAATTTCAAAATAAAACTCAATATTTGAAAATGTGGACTTCTGACTAATAAATAAAAATGTTGAAATCAAGAAGTGTGGATTATTTTCTGTCTTTACAAATGAAGTTACATTTTGTTTTTACACTCATTGAGTAACGTAGTAAAAGAGCCACCATTGGGTCCTAGTGCAGAATTCCACTCAGGCCTTTGGAAAGCCCCTCTGGCAAGTGAATAGTAAGACACTGCTTAACGGTGCTTGCTGTATTTTAATTAAAATAAGTTGTTTGCAAACATTATTTAAAAAAACAACCATATCAACTTTTTGTACACTAAATTGCTTATTTTCTTTATCAAAGGCTCAAGCGAATAGGTAGACACCGATAGTCTAGCGGTTATATTGCGCACCCCATGTACAGAGTACAATGGCCCTGGGTTCAAATCCAACCTTGGTCCTTTGCTGCATGTCTTCCCCTACTCTCCCCTCCCAAAATGTTCTCTCTCTCTCTTTAGCTGTCCTATCTAATAAAAGATAAAAAGGCCAGAAAAATAACTAACAAAAACGCTTAATCTTTTTACATCTTCATGCTCCTCAACTCAAACAGTTATTATGTTATGGTTATTTTTACCGTCACATCTTTCCTCTTACTGTTCAATAAAACGGCCAAACATTTTCCCTGGGCGTGAGAAAACAATTCTCAGAAAGTAACGGTTAGTACCATCACTTAATGGGAAGCTGATGGTGGTTTAACAGGCTGACAGTAAAGGACTCCCGCTTTTAAATATAACATTAGTGCCAACAGGGACAAATGATTTATAGGAACAAGCTCAAATAAATACTACTTTATTCTTCACAAAGCTCCCAATGTTTTTATGCTTTGGCAACGTAAGCTTAGTTTGTTTTGGAATTTGTATTTGATAAGTAAAACAGTATAAAGTACTGATATCTCAAACTGATAATAAGCCTTGAATAAATCTCTAGTTCATGTGAACATAATTAACTAACTAAAGGCAGGATGCTACAGGGTCTTAAGTTTTCAGTATGCCCCCTAAAAGGTACTTTACTTTTACTAAAAGGTATTTTATAACTCATTGAAGATTCCATATTCCACCTTAAAAATCGTATTGCTGGCAGTCATGTTGTTTAAACTATGAATGGTCGTCCCAGTGCCCACGAAGCCAGTGAGTTTGACAGTCAGTGAATGGAAAAGCTCCAGGACAATTGTCTATTTAGACAACTAAGGGCACAGATTGCATCTTTATGTGGGTAGTAAAACATGAAATTTCTTTCAGAGATTGTGTTGTAAAAGACGATCGTTATATTGTGTGTGTTAGGATAGTTACCCTGCTTCGAAGGTAGTCTGCAAGGTTCTTTCGTGTGAAGTTTGCTGCTGCTGATGGACTGAGTTCATAACCTAATAAAATAAAAAGAAACACAAACTTTAATTTTCACTGTGACACCACATTTACTATTTACATGGACACAAATGATATGATTAAAACCCTGATCAGACTAAAAATGCTTCACCCAAACACATCAATCCAGGAGATTGATCTGATCCGGCTCATTTAAAAAGAGACTTTATTATGAACGAGGGGGGTGGTTTATGCCAATCCTAGTTCAGATTGATATCCATGTGTACACACTTGATCTCATCGTGTCTTGCTGCTTGGGGTGAAATCATTCCTACTTTGCATGTCTGCCCCTCTCTTCAACTGTGCATATCTGAAGGTCCTGCAGACTTGCACTCTCCCTGTTTATCGATTACAGGGCAACTGCAGATACTGCTGAGCTTTCAACTTATTAAAGGAAGAGGAGATATAAAAGTAAGAAAAGGGAAAAATTAAATACAGAGATCCTAAATCACACGAGGAGAATAAAACCTGATGCACAGCGAGGGGGAGAGTAGAAGAGACATCTGGAGACACGCAGCAACAGCTTCGTTTAGTTACAACACATGCCGTCTTTCACGGCGAATATGACATGCCGACTAGGAACTAGACTTAAAATAATAACAGGAAAAAGGCGCTGGTGGCGCAGTGGTTAGTGCGCGCGCCCCATGCATGGAGGCTGAAGCTCAGGTTCAAATCTGGCCTGTGGCACCTTTCCCGCATGTCATTCCCCACTCTCTCTCTCCCTGATTTCTGACTCTATCCACCTGTCCTAGCTCTCCAATAAAAGGCACAAAATGCCCAGAAATAAATCTTTAAAAATAAAAAAAATTATTAAAATAATAATAATAATAATAATAATAATAATAACGCCTGAAATGGCTTGATCCAGAAAAAAAAACTGACATACGCCCAGTGACAGAAACTGTACCTGACTACCATAGAACAGAGTCCAATTCCTCACAAGTTAGAGCACAATGTGCATGTATGTTAACAGGAATGAACAGCTAATTTAGCTGAAATTTCAACGACAGGATCGCTTTGTTTATGTAAAAAATTGTTTCCATTTTAATAAATGTTTGATGCACGTACCACATGTCATAATCTTGTAACTTTGTTTAACGTCAATGTTTAAAGTGTAGTTAAAATTTGAATCATTTCAATCTAATTAAAAAAAATGGTGCACATGTAAACACAGCTGTTATCATTGTGGATTGGCCTTTTATAGAAGTAAGGAGGTAATTTACTAACACAACCATCATCTCAGAGTTACTTACCGTTCCTCATTTTGTAGAGCTGCACATTCTTCTGGATGTACTCTGCAAACTGTACTGTGTCTCCTGCCTCTCCAACACACAGGAGCAAGATCTTCTCACTCAGTTTGAACATTTTGTCATAGTCTGAAAAAAAAAAACAAGGAGCAGTAATTCATTATTATTCTATTTTTAAGTGGCCATTGGTCGACCAACAGACTGATACAACGCCGCTGTCACAAGGTCAGATACAAGAAATCTTTCTTACCGAAGGCCATAACTCTGTACAACAGCTCACCTCATGTGAGCAGAGAACTGTCATCATGATAATATCTGTCTCTCCTTTACTGTCGTCTGTTCTGCACATGTTACATTTACAAATTATCCCTGCACTCATGTTCACTTCATTTGTCTGTCTACTCGCTGTTATATTGTATAGTTTCTGCTGATAACATGTCTACATGTCAGATTTAAAAATAATTTTTGACCTAATGCAATCGCACTTTATAACGACTCCCCTTTAAGAAAGGACCGATGCCATTTAAACTTTTAAACTTTAGCCTGAGCTGCATATATCAAACTGTATTTTGAACACTTGACTGTTTTTTTTAATCATAATTATTTATCTATCATACTATGCACTGGCAGGGCTAAGGGTATTTTGTACTGTTATCTATGAGGGCGGCTGTGGCTCAGTTGGTAGAGTCGTCGCCTCTCAACCGAGGGTTCGATCCCCAGCTGGGCAACATGTCCGTTGTGTCCTTGGGCAAGACGCTTAACCCTGAATTGCTCCCACTGCTTTGGTGGTGGTGTATGAATGGGATTGGTTACTTCTGATGGATGATACTACATAGCGATCACTACCATCAGTGTGTGAATGGGTGGGTGTGACAGGTGGTGTAAAAGTGCTTTGAGTAGTCGGAGGACTAGAAAAGCGCTTTATAAGCTCAAGTCCATTTACCATGAGTAACAGCTACTTATGCACATGGACCATCTATACCACTTTTTTTTTATCCTGGCTATGTATTGTGGGCTCATGTTTTTTATATGGGTGGGATATGTATGTATATATCATACATGTTGTGTGTTTGTATGTATGCTGGCTGCTGGAACACCTAAATCTCCCTGCTGGGATGAATAAAGTATATCTTATCTTACACTTTAACTTATGTCTATACTGTCCATTTACATTTGTTTTTGCACATTTACATTTAATCTTTCATATTTAAGACTAATGCTCAGTCAAATCCTGGTTGTATGTATTCACATTCTTAGTTTTAATATTTTTAATGCTCATTTACTTCGTATTTAATATTATATTATGTTTAAATTAGCTAATATTGTGTGTTTTTTAACTCATATTGTGTGTTTGGATAACCTGCTGCTACCAGCATTATTAACAGTAAAACAGCTACTTTCACTTTCACTGACAAACCAGTTTGTGCAAGTCATGCTTATTACTTTAACACAAGTTTAATACATTTAACAAACACATAAAGTTACATAACAATGCCTCTTTAAACGCTGTTATTGACAATACACAAAGAGAACCTTAAACTAAGCTGATCATAATAAACGAGGTAAAGCCGCTTCCTTCTACTAGCCGCAGCTACATTTGCTATCTTAAATTACACTCAGAAATTGTGATAAAAATGTAGTATTAGGAGCGGCTACACCTTAACAGCAATCTTAATGTACAAAAGCAAACATTTAAGCTCTCATTCTGATGATAAAACGTTAATTATACATCGAACAAGAAGTATGAAAACAGGTTTGCATGTTAGCAGCTGAGTGGCTAACCGCTAAGCTAACGCGTTGTCATACCGTGTTTCATCTGAAGAATGCTGCTGGCTGCGACATTATCAGCTGCGACCAGGACGAAATCAGGCCCCTGTATTCCAATTAAATACTCCATTGTGTATTAAAGGTGTGAACCGAGAGGTTTGAGTAATTATCTGCAGGGGAAAGAAGACGGTCTGTGAGCCTCAGCGGTGCAGATTACACAGCAAAAGTTTTAAAGATCGACGGCGCGGGCTGACGTCGTCACCGGGAGAATTACCATGACGTCAGTTTGTGTGCGACTCGGGCGGGAGATTTGAGCGCACACCGCTGTTGGTTGTAGTTTGTAGGCAGCGCCGCGTTCAAGCGCTTCTCAGACAAGTTTGTGGATGAAAACTCAAACTGAATCGAGTGTTTCGCCGCAGGGAAAGGTCAGTATGGACGAAAGGGAGCTTAACGTGAAAGTGGGAGATTGTAAGGATGTTAATTGCTCGCAGAGGAGACGGTCACCGCGGTTGAGTTCTCCTCCTCAGGCTGCCTTCAGCAAAATGGCGCTGGTTAAACGCTCCATCACCGTGAGGAAAATAGCGCCCAGGAAAACAGTCGCGCCGTCGGAGAACAATAAGGAGAACACGCCGAGGCGGTCCGGGTCAGAAGAGGTCCAGAAGACGAAGCCTAAGGTGTCCACTCCAGGTGTTACACCGCACCGTAGGGGGTCCACCCCGGCCAAGAAGGCGGCCGCCATGCCCTCGCCCATCCTCCCGTCTTCACCTCCTCCTCCTCCGCCGGCTGCTGCAGATCCAGTGGACCCGGTGTGGTCGCAGAAGGTGCGCAGGTCCTACAGCAGGCTCAGCAGCCCCGACTCCAGGGTCAGCATGTTCGGCTTTGAGAGGATGAACACCCCGGAGGTCGTCAAGAGGGTCCGACGATCCAAACCGGGTCTGGAGCTTTCTGGATCCGCGTCCGGCCTGAACTCTTTCACGTCTCTGATGGAGGCGGAGGTCTGCTGCGCGGCACCGGAGGTGGACACGGACATCCCGGGGGTGCTTTTAGTGAAGGAGAAGAGGAGGAGGAGGAAGGTCCAGCAGATCGGCTCCACAGAGATGGACGCGCTGGCTGCTCAGATGAACGCTGAGTTTGAGGAGGCTGAGGTGTTTGAGTTGTTCGTGGAGTAGAAGAAAATACTTTTTTTAAAGCATTTTTTCAGCATGTCATCTCTGACATGCTGAAAACACACAGACTCTGAGGGGGGGGGGGGGGGGGGGGGCACTTATCTGGTTATTCATACAACAACAACAAAAAGAAAATCAAGTTTTTGAGTTTCAGGCTCTGCAAATTCAGCATTTTTATTCTTTTGAGATTTATTTGTTTGAGTGCTCTTAATGTGGTTGTTTTGGTCACTATGTGATGATATCGTAGCAAAGTGTTGTTTGAAAATCAATAAGACCAGTAGTTAGACAAGTAAAGTGTCTTTAATTATCTATCTGGTGCCATGTGATCTTTCAAATGTCTGTCTTGACAAAACATCCTAATATTTTCTGTTGTTTTCTTTTAATCTACTTTTTCTCTTTTTTAAACTAAGTGGAAGGAGGCGCATAAAGCTGAGAGGGAAAACATTTGACATTTAAACCTGGGTTGTATTGAAGTTGTAGTTTGATGAAACAACTTTTTTTTTAAAGCATGTTGTTGTTGTTTTTCCATCTCTGACATGCTGAAAACACACAGACTTTGGGAGGACAACACACAAAAAGAAATCAAGTTTTTGAGTCGCTGTAGTTTCAGGTTCTACAAATTCAGCATTTTTATTCTTTTGAGATTTATTTGTTTCGAGTGCTCTTAATGTGGTTGTTTGGTCACTATGTGATGATATCGTGGCAAAGTGTTGTTTGAAAATCATAAGACCAGTAGTTAGATAAGTAAAGTGTCTTTTTAATTATCTATCTGGTGCCATGTGATCTTTCAAATGTCTGTCTTGACAAAACATCCTATATTTTCTGTTTTTTTTTAACTAAGTGGAAGGAGGCGCATAAAGCTGAGAGAGAAAACCTTTCACACGTAAACCCTGGTTGTATCGAAGCTGTAGTTTGAAAACTTTGAACATTTGCATTAATGTTGGGATTTTGAGTAGAGCTACAACAATTAATGGATTAGCTGTTAAATTCATTGTCAACTATTTGTTTTTGAGTCGCTGTAGTTTCAGGCTCTGCAAATTCATCATTTTTATTCTTTTGAGATTTATTTGTTCGAGTGCTCTTAATGTGGTTGTTTTGGTCACGATGTGATGATATCGTGGCAAAGTGTTGTTTGAAAATCAATAAGACCAGTAGTTAGACAAGTAAAGCGTCATCTTTGAAATGTCAATTATTGAAGTATGTTTCTATCTGGTGCCATGTGATCTTTCAAAGCTCTGCTTGAGAAAACATCCTAATATTTTCTGTTGTTTTCTTTTAATCTATCTAAGTGGAAGGAGGCGCATAAAGCTAAGATGGAAAACCTTTTACACGTAAACCCTGGTTGTATTGACGCTGTAGTTTGAAAACTTGGAACATTTGCATTAATGTTGGGATTTGAGTAGAGCTACAACTATTTGGATCATTGTTTTACTCATTTGAATATTTCTTTTTATATTAAGATAACAAGATAAAATAATCTGATTCCATCTTCTTATCTTTTTTTTTTTTTAAATACTATCTTGGTCTCTAATATTGTTGTTAACTTCACTAAATATGTCTGTTAAGGGAACTGATTGAGCGGAAGTGGGAATTCTGCTTTCCTAAATGTTCATAATATTTTCATCTTTCAAAATGATAATTTCAGAATAAGACTCTTATGACAGCACATATCAAGACTGTCATTGGATGTTTACATTCATGCTGCATTAGTGCTTTCCTAAATATATAAGAAAACACTTTTTTAAAATTGTGATTGCCTGTAGATGTAAATAAATATGCAATCAATTTAAAGGACCAATATGTAAGACAATTACTTAATCAAATGATTAAATAACCGTAACAAATCATGAGACATTAAGGAAACATGCTATGGTAAAGTGCAGGCTTCTCGGTAGCAGCCGGTATGTCCTCCTTAGTTTAGATTCTGAATGGTTTGTTTTTGTTTTGACCAAATCCAGTAGCTGGTTTTAAGGCACCTCCACCCCTCGGTTTGCCGGGCAAATGGCAGACCAGCAGGGATGGAAAGGGGAAGTGAACTGGTTTAGATTTAACTGATCCTACTCGACCTAAAAAGCCTCGGCATTTTTCTAAAAAAAAGCTCCACGAGCAGAAAGGTTGTCAAACTAGGATCAATATTGGAGATGCTTCTGAAAAACGCAGAGAGGTTAGAATGCAGAAAGGTTTACAGACCGATGCAGAGCTGGATAAACACTGAAGCTTCCATGCCTCAAATCTAGTGAGGACAGGGCGGGGGGAGACAGCTCTCTTCAATAGTTTGAATTTGGACTTCAGTGCCAATTTTTAAATGTTACCTGTCAGAGTTACATACTAGTATTTTAAAAATCAGAATTTCTATCAGACTTAGACTTTCTTTAAGGATGAAACCGGCACATTTTACTGAAGTCCTTGATTCTGCTCACCCCCCCACCTCCCAAAAGACACACATTCCACATTTTGTCTAAGTTTTTAAGAGTAGTTTTACTTTTACAATTTTTGGTTGACTATCTAAAAATGAGTGAAGAACAGCTAATCAGAATCCATTAAGAAGGTTAATCTCGTTAAAGGGTTAAATTGTGTCTTTCAAATATAAATCCAAGTCCTACTTTATTACAAATAGCTCAGAAACAGTTAAACCCTGCTTCTATCCTTCACTAAAAAATACTCTGAGCTATACGAGTAGTGGATGTGTAGGCCTACAGCTGATTTGAGGGTATGATGACACATGCTGATAATTGTAACATGCAGTGTGTTTAATAAGGTCGTAGCCTAACTTGATGGCGAACAACACATTCCTGTAAACAGCTTTCGTCTCCAGTGACTGATGAGGCACTCACTGAACGAGTGAGTGGGCGATGTGTCTCGATTTAATGAGAGTGCCGGACAGGTAAAACGTTTCCCTCCAGAGCCTCTTAAAGGTGTAAGTGGATATGTTGCATAATTTGTACTAACAAGAGGAGGGATGTTATTAATCCTCATGCCTGCCTCTAACTGTGCAGCCTACTCTCTCAGATCAACTGGATTTGAACAAGTGACTCCAGCTAAATAAAGATCTGAATAATTATTTAAGACATGGGTACAAGAGGTCGTAGAGTCTTTTTATAACATGACAATTATGTGAATCATCTATTAAGGACTTCCCAGTAACCAGACCTCAGCCGAGTATCCAATATCAGATGTCAGTTTAAAAAGGTCAAAATCAGTACAGGGCACTGGTGGCCTAGTGGTAAGTTTGCGCGACCCATGTACAGAGGCTGTAGCCGTCGAAGCGGGCAGCCCAGGTTCAAATGTGGCTCCTTTCCCACAAGTCATTCTCCACTTTCTCTCCCCAGCTTCCAGCACTATCCACTGTCCTGTCTCTACAATAAAGGCACAAAAATCACCCCCTAAAATATAAAATCAAATAAAAACACACCTAAAGAGGTAACATCATTAAGCAGAAAAGGGTTTATCTTTCCGTAAGCGTTAAAGGGATTTACTCTGCTTTCCAGTATCCACTTCCATAACTAAGCCCTCCCCGCAACAATATTTGAAACAGACATAAAATAAATGCAATTTATGCCCCAAATCATATGACCAAAATAACTGCATGGTTGTGTTTGTAGAGTGTTAGACAGGAGACATCCAGCAATCCAGACTGAAAAACAACACTGTTACAAAACCTAACTTTGAAGGCAACAGTCAAGTCAAAACCTATTTATACTGCATATTTTAAACAACCTCAGTTGGCCGAGGTGCTGTATAGGTTTAAAAACACAATATAAAAAAATGATGTGAATACAATTAACAATAAATAACATAAAACATAATAAATAGGAGTTTATTTAAATGTCAATATTTCAAGCTCAACTTGATTGAAGAGCCAAATCAAAGAGGTGTTTTATGCAGGAATGGATTGAGCAGTTCTGAGATTTGTAGCAGCCATCCCAAAGCCTCGGGGAGGTGCGACTTTTATGTATGAATGTATTGTATTCCCCAAAAAAGGTTGAGTATGTCCCAGTGAATCTAGGACGCCACCATGTCCTGCTGCCATCTGTCACATTTTCAGGATGCAACCCAGCATGATATTTTTGGCTAACCTGTCCAACAATGTAAGAAGAAGATACTCCACATGAGAGCGCAAACAATAGAGTTTTATAATCTGTCAAAGACACTAGAACCTGATTTGTAGCATCATGGTGGCCCCACACCAACAATGTCTTTGGTATCTACTTAAACAGGTAATCTGTCTACGATTGTAAAATTGTTGAGCTCTCGCCATGTACCAATGTCAGCTAAACTGTCGCTAAGAGGTCCAACTCCTGGTGGTTTTAATTCATTAATTTGTTCATAAATCAACTCAGTAGAGTAGAGTTTTTGTAACACATTGTTTGAATCTCTCGAGCTATAAGATTTGGTTAAAAGGCTGTCAGCCTGGAACACACTACATCAGGGTTGTAGAGAGAAAAGTGCATCTTTATTCAGTATTTTACTTTAAATAAGCCAAGATGCAGTATACTTCCAGTTTCAGTGTAAGACCTTATTATGATAGCTGTTGTCATGCCCAATTAAAATGAATAATGTAAAGTGGAATCGTGATAAATAAACCTCCGAGATCTTTATTACAAAGTTAAAGAAGTGATGCACAAGATGCCGACGAGACCACCTTCACCTGTTGTCTTCAAAAGCTCTGAAGTCTTGTTATTTACATCTGCTGAGAGCACGTATGCATGCTGATAGTATTTGTGTGAGCGTGGAAGGAGGAAGAGAGGCGAGATAATGAGTGTGTTTGGGTGTTTGGGTGTGTAGCAGCAAGTGAGTAAATCCACAGTTTGCTCACGCATTTTCGGGTTTGCAAAGCACGCTCTGTTTTCCTCCTCAGGTGCCATTTCATGTTCATACCCTTCATTTGGCATTTCAGCTCCCTGGGAGAGAGGAGTATTTTTTATTTTTCCCTTTTTTCTAGCAGAGCGACAACACATGACAGCTTGGCTTTTGTATATTTTTAACAAGGTATATTCTTGTCTGCTGTCAGTTTGGCTGAAAGTTACAGACAGAGTGAAGCAGGAAGGTTTTTTTAAGCTGCTGTTGTCTCTGCTTGTGCTTTTAAATCTGTTCATGCTGCTGTAGTGTTTTATTGCACAATGCCAGTCTTGAAAATGTCGCTATCAGACCATTTTTCATTTTAATGCTAATGATGAACAACTTAAAGAAACAGATAGTGAAATTACAGTTTTAATTATGACGTCAGGCCATATTCAAGTGAAACAACACAAAGGCCCACCATAACCTAGCTACGAGTAGTTGGATCTAAAGCAGGGATGGGCAACTTTGGTCACAGCAAGGGCCACATTCATTTAATTCTGACTGCCAGGGGGCCAAATTGTAGGATACAAAAACAATAACAGTCAAGTATGTCTCAAATTTAACTCAACGTATACCAGTGATCAAATATTATTGTGGACATATTTTTGGTTTTCATGATTTCACGGCAGATTTTGTCATGTTTTCTTCATGTTTTGATGTATAAAAATTGACCTGAGGGCCACATTGAGGGTCGACGAGGGCCGCATGTGGCCCCCGGGCCGCCAGTTGCCCACTCCGATCTAAAGCTAGCATTCAGCCGCTAACTTGCTAACGTTACATTTGCAAGGAATATGCTAGTTAGTGATTTTCAGCCTTTTCTTAGCAAATCAAATGTTAGCTAAGATTTTTCCTTGTATTGTAACACTACCAAACAATTATAGTAGGCCTACCTGTTAGCCACCTATTAGCTCATTTTTAACAAGAGCAAAACATGTGTCAGCTTAGCTTTTATATAGTTTTTAAATTGTATTTTTGTCAGTTTGTAATTTTGGTTGAAGGAGGGTGTTTTGTTAGCTGCTGTTGTTTCTGTTTTTTCGATTATAATGTTTAGCGTAGCGTATTGCAGGTTTAAGTCATTAACGTAGGACTGTAGCTCATTGCGTCTTATTTGATTAGCAACTTTTTAATAGGCTAATGGATAGTGACAATGTGGAGCCAAATCCAGATATATACTTATCTATAAAATCAACAACTAAAACTATCATTCAACCAGTTCCTTCAACGTTACATTGGATATAGGATAATGCTAGCTAGTTATTTTTAACCAGTTCTTAGCTTATATTAGCTAGTTATGTTTCCTTGTAAGTGTTATGTTAGCTAGGAATTTTTTATTTTTTTTATTTTGTGTAACATAACCAAACAGTTTGTAACGGAGCAAAAGGCAACTTGACTTTTTAAATAGTTTTTATAAAGTCATTTTGGCTGAGAGAGTCAGGCAGAGGGAAGCAGGACGGTGTTTATTTGATTGATATAGTTTATATATAGTTTTATAGTCAATGGTTATTAGGCTGTTTCATCACTTCTGGATTTATGAGCAAAATAAAATGACTCAAAGGACTGAAAAGAGTTGAATCCTGAAAATCTGGAGGGATGGGCCATTTTTCCAAGTTTAAACAACACGTACCGTATGCTACCTTACTAGCTA